AGCCTGCACACTACTTAAGTGTCATTTAAATAAATTATGATGCATTCATGCTACAGAATATTGTGCAGCTGAATGCGGCAGCTCTGCAAATGCAACGTGGAAAGATGTCACCGAATACACCAATATAGCAGAGAGCAGTATCTCAACTGTGCACACCACAGTGGGCACGTGACAAGCAGTGTCTCCAGGGCCCCCCCAGGATGAATGGGGATAAAGATGGAATAGGAAGAAATACTTTGCATTTTCATTTTCACCCCACCCCACAGCTATGCTTCTGTATTATTTGAATTGTTTGCTGGAAATAGGAATTTACGTAATAATAAATTTTAAGAAGCAGAGATTAGGGGAGCAGGTGTTCATTGTCAAACACAGCAACAGACAAGGGCCTTGATCTGTTCTTTAGAAAAATCAGAGCATTAGTTCTGAAAGAGTTCCAAGATGGGCCTGCAGAAATATGCCCTGTATCTGTCTCTACACCTGCTAGGTCTCTTTCATGGCACCTGTCAGCCATCGATTTAAGTGACAATTTAAATGGCCAATGCAACCAATGGCTCTCAGTAGATAATAGCTCTAGACCATCCTCTGCTGCGCATGCTAAAATCTGCTGGCTTTAGGACCCCACCTCCTTGTGGCTTAAGTCAAGGTGTCCTGAGTTTGTTGAGAGGAGCTCCCTTCCCAGCCTGTTCCACACTGTAAGCAAGAACACTGCTTCAACATTTCCTTGGTCCCTGCAACATGCCATCTGGCCACTTCACCCTGTCCTACCCATAGTGCCCACCAGTTCTGCCTTGGGCACGTGGCCTCAAGGTGGATGGAAGCTGTGGATGGACAGAGATTTAGTCCTAGCTAAGGGGGAAGGAAGGAAGGCAGGGAGTAGGCCAAATAGGGCTGACCACAACCTGAGCCAACAAAATAGAAGAGGTCCAACTACATGTAAGAACTTAGGCTTGCTTTTCCTTCATGTCTACACAAGGACAACATGATCAAAGCTGCAAAAGAGCAATACATATCTGAAACACACTGGTACACTATACACAAAGAAATATAGACAGATTCCATAAGCTCCTGGTAAACATCCATGTTGTCAGTTCTCAGATTCATGCGCCAAACCCTCAGTTACCATGGCTTATGACTAATGAAACACCCCTGAAAATGAAGACAGAAGCCCAAGGACACATCAGATAAAGTGGGAACATCGCTACAAATACCTAAGTGTTCCTACACTAAAAATGACTCTCATGATGCAAAATGGCCCAGCATATGAAGCATATCATCAACACCCAATTTTGGAATGGATCTTCACAAAACAAGGTGTAAGTTGGAATTCTCAGTTATTTTCAGCAATAGATTTTTACCTTTTCTATTGTTTCCTTGAATGTTTGTACGTGGGAACACCTAAACTGGGGGGAAAGGTCACCCACTTTGCTAAGCCCTCTCTGGAGAGCCTCTTGTACAAGCAAAGCTGCAATGTTATGGGTGCTGTGGAAATACTTTGCTTTGCCCTTCTTGCCTGCACACTTGGCCGTGGCTGGAAGTTGCATCCTCCCCCTCCTCCCGTTCCCCCACCCCATGCTATTATCAGCAGGAAAATGGTAGCCATAAGGAAATTAAGCAACATCTCTAGAAGCCATTAGCCAGAAAGAACAGAAAATACATTTAAGCTGGGAATAAGCAGACTATTACAGAATCTATAAGGCAAACCCAGAGGGTTCTCAAGACATAGCATTAACACACACACACACACACACACACACACACACACACACACACACACACACACACACACACACACACACACACACACACACACACACACACACACACACACACACACACACACACACACGCTGGTCTCAAAACCCACAGCCGTTAAGCCTTTACATTAGATAACTGGGACATTTTGAGAAAATGCTAGCAAAGACCAGAGAAGTGTACCATATAATAAAAAGCACAGTTGCACAGTTAACTCATGAACATATCCTTGCCTTGCCTACTTTGGTTTGACACATATCCTTGCCTTGCCTACTTTGGTTTGACACTGTCACATGGGGTCCAACCACTCCACTAAAGACAAAATGAAAGGACATGATTCTTCATTTCCATCCACACAGACTGGCTATGAGGTCCTCCACAGGAGGTGCTCGGCCATCACCAAAGATGAGACCTCCACCTTAGAACTACAGAAATGCTGACACCTAGGACACAGAGGTTATCTGTGGCTCACCTGGGAGCCTATACATCCTACTGGTCTATGGGAATTGAGGACATCAACTGTCAACTGAGTGCTTCTTGGAATCTCCAGCTCTACCACCTCGCTATGTGTGCCACCTAAGAGCTCCCTTGTGCATTCATAAATGCTTCTCTTCATCTGTCCTGAGCCAAGCTCTTGAAAATCACCAAGGACTCTTCCTTGCGACTGGGAGGTCATGCTCCTTATTGACAGTCCTGTGTAACTAGCCCAGCCTGGGATGCTACCAATGACCTTTAGCCTTTAATGTCTGTTCTCTGCTGCTCCTGCTCCTAAGTCCTGCTCTGTGTTTCAATGCTGAACTCCTAAGGAAAGTCAATCCTGACATGCTGAACTACATTCAAATGCAGGAAAAGTTGTACCCAGGCTCTTCTAGGTATCTTTCTGGATCATCTTAACATCTGGAAATATTATGGTGTCAGATAGTGGATTTAAGATAATATACCATGATCCAATTTTATGATCCTAAAAATAATTTCATAAAGTCATTAAATAATAAAGATTTTAATAGGAAATTATCCACTCCAGTAGCTCATTAGAATTCCTGTCCCATGTGGCCTTGCATGGAGGAGAATGATATTGAAGGTCTTCTACACGAAGTTTCCAACACCAGGGGATGCTGTCACAGCTTCAAGATCCACTGTTTTCTTCAGGGCTGCTTTCAATTTTGAAGGATAAAATATTAGCACATTACAAGAAAAATAAATAAAAGAAACACCTGGACTTCTCACTGTGGAACATCCAATCTTCTGTATCCATGGGTTTTCAACAAGATTCACCCAACCGTGATCAAAAACAATTTTTTTAATTGCAGCTGAGAAGGAGAGGTACAGTTCAAGTGGCAGAGTACCAGCCTTAGCAGAAAAAGCCAAGCAATAATGCAAGACAAAAGCCAAGCAATAATGCAAGACCCTGAGTTCAAGCCCCAATTCCAGTAAATCCACACACACGCACAAAACTGCACCCTAAGAATAAATAGACTTCTTTCTGTGTCATTATTCCATAAACAATATAGTGTAACAACTATTTATATAGCATTTACACTGTATTAGGCATTCTAAGTAATCTAGAGACCATTTAAAATGAATGGGATGGTTTAGGATTGCAGCTTTGTGATAGAGCACTTGCTTAATATGCACAGGCCTTAGGCTTAATCTCTAACATAAAGAAAATAATTAATATACAGAACACTGGGCATTGGTCATATGCAAATATTAAGCCACTTTATGTAAGGTACTTGAGCATCCCCAGATTTGGGGGATGCTCAGTGGGGTCTTGAAACCATCCCCTGAGATATGAGGGAAGACTGTATGTTTCCCTAAATCATTTCTTACATCTTTATCACTTAATGTCTTTGTCTTATTATTATATTGTTTAAAGAATCTGGTATCCTATTTTTCTCAACAAAACTGTGTCTTCTCTGTATGCGGCTATGGAATCTTCACACCCATCACTGTTGGTGGCTGTCTATGGCTGAGTAGGCAGAATGTACTTAATCCCTAGGCAGTCTAAGGGGCATTAGAGCTGCCAACTACAGATTAGTGTGTCAGTTTACAATTCAGGGTGAGGAGGAATAGAAACAAATATAAGTAAGTGTCGAGTGACGAACAGGATCAGAACTTCCTGGCCCAATTTCTATATTAACAGCCACTAAAGAGATAAAGGCAAAGCAATGTTTTCTATTATCTATTCTCTGTCTATATAACATCTACATTAATGCTCACTGAATGACTTGGGTGGGGGTAGGGAAGAAGGGAAAGAGTTGGGGGAGGAATATGGGGGAATCCAATTGTTCCTTAAAAACATTCTCCTGCTGGGTGCTGGTAGCTCACGCCTGTAATCCTAGCTACTCAGGAGGCTGAGATCTGAGGATCAAGATTCAAAGCCAGCCCAGGCAGGAAAAGTCCTTGAGACTCTTATCTCCAATAAACCACCAGAAAACCGGAAGTGGTAGAGTGCTCACCTTGAGCTGAAGAGCTGAGGGACAGCACCCAGGCCCAGAGTTCAAGCCTTATGACCGACCAAAACAAACAAACAAACAAACATTCTCCTAAGCTGGCACTGGTGGCTCACATGTAGAATCCTAGCTACTAAGTCTGAAATCTGAGGATCTGGCAGCTCAGGCAGAAAGTCTATGAAACTCTTAATTCCAATTAACCACCAAAAAGCCAAAGTGGTTCAGACCTAGCCTTGAGCACAGGTCAGGGGCAGCGCCTAGGCCCTGAGTTCAAACCCCATTATTGTTATTCACTGAACAAACACACATAAATAAAGTTATAACTAAGGCATCAGGTGAGGTGAAAATACAGAACAGACTGGCAGAACATGACATGAACTGCTCTGGAAAATGGGATACTGGATTAAAACGAGCCTACTTGAAATGCCCTTCTGTGCCTCTGCTATAACCCTGAGAGGGCCTCTACCCTGGAGAGCCCCTGAAGCTCCAGCCTAGGTCCCAGGGTGAACACAGATGGAGCACATCTGAGCTCAACCTGCAAGGAAGGCAGCCCATGAAACCACAGCCTGAAGGACAGACTCACAGCAGACACAACCCACACCAGCAAGCAACCGTCAACCAACTTACAGAAGCAAAAGCCAAGGACAAATGATTGTTGCTTGATTTGGAGGATGGTTGTTACACAGTCTCATTGTAACAACAGCAGACTGGCATACATGGCACCCTTAAAGGGAACCCACATGCCAGAAAGAAAGCAGTCTTCCCAAATTCAAGAAACAGGTATGTGCCACTCACCAGACTCGCCTTTTTTCTTTGAACCAGACTTCTTCTTTGTAGGAACTTCTTGCTTTGAGGCTTCCTGGCTCTGGACTGTATCTGCATTTTTACCCTGGGTTGGAGCTGACTCTGCCTTCCTACCCTGATTGGCAGCTGTGTCCACCTTTTTGCCCTGGTTGGAGGACCCTTCTGTCTTTTTGCCTTGGTTTGGGGTTCCCTCGCCTTTTTTGCCTTGATTAGGGGATCCCTCTGCTTTCTTTCCCTGGTTTGAACTACCCTCTGCCTTTGTGCCCTGATTAGCAACTGATTCTGTCTTTTTGCCCTGATTGGGAGCTCCCTCCCCTTTTTTGCCCTGGTTGGGGCTCCCCTCTGACTTCTTACCCTCCCCCTTTTTGCCCTGATTCTGGGCTCCCTCCCCTTTCTTGTCCTGGCTTTGGGCCCCCTCTGCCTTCTTGCCCTGGTTCTGAGCCCCCTCTGCCTTCTTGCCTTGGTTCTGGGCTCCCTCTCCCTTTTTGCTCTGGTTCTGGGCCCCCTCCCCCTTTTTGCCCTGGTTCTGAGCCCCCTCCCCCTTTTTGCCCTGGTTAGGACATCCTTCCACTTTTTTGCCCTGGTTCTGGGACCCCTCCCCCTTTCTACCCTGGTTCTGAGCCCCTTCCCCCTTCGTGCTCTGATTCTGGGACCCCTCTGCCTTTCTGCCCTGGTTGGGAGACTCCTCCACTTTTTTGCCCTGGTTCTTACCCTGGTTCTGGGCTCCCTCTACTTTCTTACCCTGGTTCTGGGGTCCCTCTGCCTTCTTGCCCTGGTTCTGGGCTCCCTCTGCCTTCTTGCCCTGGTTCTGGGGTCCCTCTGCCTTCTTGCCCTGGTTCTGGGGTCCCTCTGCCTTCTTGCCCTGGTTCTGGGGTGCCTCTGCCTTCTTGCCTTGGTTCTGGTCACCTTCTCCTTTTTTACCTTGATTCTGGGCTCCCTCTGCCTTCTTGCCCTGGTTCTGGACAGTATCCCCTTTCTTACCTTGGTTCTGGGCTCCCTCTATCTTTTTGCCCTGGTTCTGGGGTCCCTCTACCTTTTTGCCCTGGTTCTGGGGTCCCTCTCCTTTCTTGCCCTGGTTCTGAGCTCCCTCTCCTTTCTTGCTCTGGTTCTGAGCTCCCTCTCCTTTCTTGCTCTGGTTCTGAGCTCCCTCTCCTTTCTTGCTCTGGTTCTGAGCTCCCTCTCCTTTCTTGCTCTGGTTCTGGGCTCCCTCTCCTTTCTTGCTCTGGTTCTGAGTACCCTCCACCTTCTTTCCCTGGTTCTGGGTTCCCTCCCCTTTCTTGGCTTGGTTCTGGGTTCCCTCCACCTTCTTTCCTTGGTTCTGGGATCCCTCCCCTTTCTTGGCTTGGTTCTGGGCTCCCTCCCCTTTCTTGCCTTGGTTCTGGGTTTCCTCCCCCTTCTTACTTTGGTTCTGGGTCCCTTCCATCTTCTTGCCTTGGTTCTGGGATCCCTCCCCTTTCTTGCCTTGGTTCTGGGTTCCCTCCCCTTTCTTGCCTTGGTTCTGGGTTCCCTCCCCCTTCTTACTTTGGTTCTGGGTTCCCTCTCCTTTCTTGCCTTGGTTCTGAGCATTGTCACCTTTCTTTCCCTGGTTCTGGGCCCCTTCCCCCTTTTTGCCCTGGTTCTGGGCTCCCTCTAACTTCTTGTTCTGGTTTGGGCTCCCCTCTCCCTTTTTGACTTGGCTCTGGCCCCCCTCTGCCTTCTTGCCCTGGGCAGTAGCTGAGGCACTGCCCTTGGCACCTACTGGAGGTACAGCCATCATAGGCACCTCCTTGGGAGAGGCTTCCAAGATGGCAGACTTTGAAGCAAGAACCTGGACAGAATTCACTACAGAACTAACCGCTGGCTGCACCTTTGCCACTTTTTTCTCCTTCTTCTTTTTGTCTTTAGGAGAAGAGGCCAACTTCTCTTGAGGCATGGCGGGTACCATGGCTACAGGGGAAAGGACCACAGGAGACAGGACTGGGGTTGGGGCCACAGCCACTGCGGGTGCGCGCACTGGTTCCTTAAGGAGGATGGTCATATTGGGGGCCAGGTCATGGTCAGGTATCTTCCCATTGGGTTTCTCTTCCTTTTTCTTGGTCTTTCCTTTCTTCTCCACAGTTTTCTCCTTCTTTTTCTTATCTACTTTCTGGTGGTGAGTTTTTGCCATCTCCTTGCGCTGGTTGGCGAGGGCTTCTTCATAGGACGTCTCCTTCATGGAGAAGGTCGACACCAGGAAGATGCCAATGGCAGAAACCACCATAAACCCGCCAAAGACCACAACCCCCAAGGTCTGAGTGTCGTAAATATCCATGCTGGTCGGCTTCCTTTCCACCTGCCAAACACATACATGTAGATTACTTTTTGGTGAAACTGAGGCACATGAGACATTTCTATCTCCCCACCTTCCATCACTTAACCTAAGGTGTCCCTGTTTTTCCAGATTGAATTCAAAATAACAAGTGCAAGAAATCTTTGGTGCCCAACTCTTAACTCTTCCTCTTCAGAAATAAGCATTTTTTAAAACTCAGTTCTGAGTAGTCCCATTTAGTACTAGAAGACATAAACAACAGATGGATGGCAGCATGCAGGTTGATACCTGATATGTAATGCTTCTAACTCAAGATGCTCCCTAAGTGTAGCAATCAAAAGTGAGCATCAACGTGCAAACAAGGTGTGAAACAACAAGGTGGAGCAACTGGCAATGCTGACTAACTGAACTGTCCCACCTAATTAAGGCACTAGCCATAGTAGATTATCGCAAAGGTAATCAGAGACAACAATACTTCTTTATACTCTTAATAGCCTCTCACCGATGGCCTTCCATACCTAGGGTCACAGGTAAAAGAACTGTCTAAGGCTGGCCCCCGGCAAAGCCTCAAGATCCTACTTAAAAATAATAACTAAAGCAAAAACAGAGGCTGTGAACATGGCTCAAGTCGTAGAACACCTGCCTAGCAAGTGTGGGTCCCTGTGTTCAAACTCCAGTACCAACAATAACAAAAACACAAAAGTCAACTCAAACATATCTGCAAGCTCTCCAGCTGCATTCCTGACTGTCATCTCCTTTTGTTACCTCTCTTTATCCCTAGTGCAGCTAAACATAACTACCTAGGTTCCAAGACAGTCTAAGAACTTGGTAAGGAAAAGGGGGAAAAAAGCTTTTTGCCTGCAATACCTTCTGAAGTACCATTTGCATGTCTCTAAGTTTGGAATTTGCAGTCTCTAAGTTTGGAATTTCACACCTGCTGTGTCACCAGGCTCTTCACCACACAACGCAAACCCAAAGCCAGACAACCCACACCATTCTAACTGCCTATCTACCAAAGTCTAAAGGGCCAGAGACAACTGAGTCCACTCTTCTTGGTAGAAGTCCCTGAGATTTGTTTGGATACATTCAACTTTTTTTTAAATTTCTTCAATTCGTTCTTCTCTCCTCTCACCACTTCTTACAATTTAACACTAGAAAATGTTCTTGTTAATGTTACTAGTTCATATTGCCAAATCCAGTGGATACTTTTCATTCTTCATTTCATTCGAACTCATCTTTTTCCTTGGGCAGTAGTAGGGTTTAAATTTAGGGCTTGTGCTCACTCATCTTGCACTACTATTTGAGCCACACCTCCAACTCTGGTTTTTGCTTGTTATTTTGGAGATAAGAGTCTCAGAACTTTTGCCTAGACTAAGCCTTACATCATAAGCCTCAGGATCTCAGTCTCCTGAGTACCGAGAATTACAAATGTGAGCCACCTGCATCAACTCTTCACTTGAGCTTTAAATTAAACATTTTATTGTTCAGTCTTTCTTGAAATACTATCTTATAACTTCTGTGACAACTCATTCACTTCCAGATTTTTTTTTTTTTTGAGTGAGTGATGGTTATTAGGGTTTGAACTCAGGGTCTTGTGCTTGCTAGGCAGTTAGTTACTCTACCTATGAGCCATGCCTCCATCCCAGCTTCTTTTCACTGAGATGGAGTCTTTCAAACTTGTCTGCCCTTGACTCATGATCCTCCCTTGTTTCAGCATTCCATACAAATGGGATTACAGGCATAAACCACCACATCCAGCTATAGGTTGAGAAGGCTTTTTTTTACATGTGTGCCTAAGGGGGCCTCACACTTCAATCATCCAGATCTCAGCCTCTCAAGTAGCTTTACACTCAACTCTTAAGTCAAATTAACACTATCAGTAGCTCCAAATCCCTGAACTAGAGGGAGGGAAAAAAACTCGCCCCTCTTACACGTGATAGAATTGAGTGTAGAATAGGTAGGCAAATGAAAGGGCACAGCATAAAGAGAAAGGAGGAAGACAGCACTGCCCTCCAGGATCCTAATCTTCAACACTGTGGGAGCCAAGGACAAGCTGGTTGGGAGTTCAGACATTGAAATTCTCTTTCCTCATTTGAGTGGGAGCGAGACCAAGTAGGAATTCCTAAACAGCAATAATCATGAAACCAAAAGTGTGACACGAAAGGGAGATTGTTTTAAGCATTTCAACATGGTACTCGAAGACAAATCTCTTTCTAGTAAATTCAAAAGGTTGCACAGTGTCTTTCAGGTAAGACCCTTGAGGAATGTTGGATACACCCATGATAAGGACTTCAGCACACACCTTCCAGGATTCTCACTCGGCACTGGCTGCCGTGACACTCCCCGACAGAACCTTGTGCCCTGGGGTGTTCAGGGATAAGACACAACTCTCTCCATCCAGTTATCACCATGGCAAATGAGGTGTGAGGAGAGCTCATAGAGACCTTTGAACCCCAGGCAAGGAAGCATTTATGGACCGTGTGTTCTGATCTCTGGCTATGAGGGAGCAACAAGTAAGCCTTTGTCACAAAGGTGCATTTGTGAAAGGCTTATTTGTAAGAGCCATAGAAGCTACACTAATAAGCCTTTGCAGGACGCATCTCAGCTTAGGTATTGAAAGGAAACTTGTCTTGCTAGATCTCCAACAGCAGGGCAAGAGGAACAAGAAGGCTTGTCAGTCAACCCCATTTAGTGGTAGGCATCCACCTACTTAAATTCCTCCCAGTCCTCCCCAAGACATCTCAAGGCCCAGCCAGCAGAGACACATTCAGGTACAAAAAACTAAATTATAGTCAGCCTATTTAGATAACAAGACTTCTGGAGCACCAAGCTTCTCCAGAGGCAGCCTGCCTCATCCGAGACACAGCTCCATAAACCTCAAATGGCTTTCCAACAAATCTGCATTTAAGGGGTAGCCTCTCATGGAACTGCAGTTGGCACTGGTCAGCAGACCCTGACACAGTGTACAGCTTTCCACAAAGCAGAGCCTGTTCATAGCCGAAGACTGTGGAACTCTGTGAAGCCTCGTGCTTTCCAGTTTCCCAACTCTAGCAGAAAAGCCACGGTTGGAAAATTAGCCTTTCATCTAAGTCCACATAGGCAAACATGAGATACAAAAATACATTCTCTGTGGAGAGCTCAGAATCAAGAAAAGCAAACTCGGGAGAATATTTTTCTTCTACAGTACACACAAATGTATGTTTTATAACAGGAGAAATGTGTCTTCTCAACTTCTGCAGAACAAGTTGCTTTAAAAAGAAATTACATCCTCGCCACTAATTCCTGAGTTAGAATTTAAAAGAAAGCTTTCACAGGAAAATGAAAAACCCTAGTCTTTAGTAATACACTGAAACATTTAAGGCTATGGCAGTACAGCCACAAACAGCAAAGAAATAAGTAATGAAAAACTATCTTTCTGCTGCTCCAGTCAGCCTTGGTGAGGCATAACTATATCCTGGGAGATTCCTGACCAGCAGAACTGATAAGGCTAGAGAGCCTTGCAAACATACTCTTGAGAAAGCATCCTGGGGGCTTTATTCCTGACATTTGTGTGGTGCTAGGAGCCTCCTAACCTAGTCTCCTCCAAGAATGTATTCCAGGACTTTCCCCAGGGCCAGGAATAGGCGGGTAAGAATCAAAGAATCAGGTAATATTTGTGTGCCCACTCAAATATTTTATATGGTCTAACCACAAGGACTCTATAGTCTGTCAATCCTAGTAACTTCTGTTAAACAGGTACTTCTACTTATCCCCTATTGCTGATACACTAAGAGCAAGGGCAAAAATAGGGAGGCCCTTCCAGGGAAGGAGGGAGGAAGCCACTAAGGGCTGAGGACCATTTCTATGTTGAGCTGAATGAAACACAATGAGCATATCTATCGCCAAAAGAATAGCTTTTTGTAAGAAATGAGAGGCAGGCTCAAAGGGTTTATTGGGGGACAGACCTGCCAGGCTGCTCCAAGCACTAATGGAGGCAGCAGCAGTGGACAGGTATGGGTAGAATTTAACAAAATTTTAAGGGGCAGTCAAATGGGTCACATGGGCAGTCACATGGGTCACATTATATGGACTGTGGGAATTCAGGGAAGAGAATCTGAGGAGGATGTGTTAGCTGGGAATTGTTACTACAGGAATTGGGGAGAAACTCACATTCCGAGAAGTAGTATAACAAGACTGTTTCAACTGGGGTGGAATTTGTACATTATATCAGGAAAACAGTATAGCATCGGGAAAACAGATGTTTGTAAACAGGTAGGGACTTAGGGCAAGAACTCAGTCAGCAAGCTGATTCTGAGACCTCAGACTTTCCTATTCTTAAAATTTGGGGAACAAAAGGAAGTTAAGGCTGCAAACTCCCCTGACATCCATCTGCTAGTTTATGTGGTCTAAACAACAAAGTTCACTCAGGCCAATTTGGCAGTTGGGATTTGGGTGGGTTTCATAAAGTGACCCTCAGCAGCAGCCCTGTGGCTTGTCTTATCACTAAGCAGGGGCTCCATGGTGGACCACGTTGGTCAACAAGGACAAGCCTCCAGATCCATTTCCTGGGCATAAGGTTTAACTTTTCAAGAAGATACAGAACTGAAACAACAGGTACAATGAAACAATAGATGAACAAAAGGCCAAAGTAGGCATGGCTGCATCAAAATCATTATCTCTTTAAAAATGTTAAACTAACTTTGAACATTATCCTAAAAAATCTGAAATATCCAAATACTAAAAAATTCTGAGCGTGACATTATGCCACAAGTGACAAAGTCCACACCGCACCTGATGCGATGGTCTCAATCAAAATACAGATGTGGCAGTGCAACACACCTGCAAGCCCAGCACTTGAAAAGTTGAGGAAGGAGGACTCAGGACCTAGGAATGAGGATGTAGGCCAGCCTGGGCTACACAGCAAGACTCTGACTCAAACAACAACAAACTGAAACAAAAACTGTATACAGTGACCTTCAGGTTATGCATACACGGAATGCATTTACAGGAAATGTAAATTTAGTTTTAGACTTGTGTTTCATCTC